AGAAGCAAATGAACTCAATCATCTCTGGGAGTCGCGACTGTTCACTCCCTCCCCGTAACCCTAGATCGAGCGGGTGGCCATGGAGGCGGGCGGCGCAGCCTCGGAGAAGGGCGGCGTGGCCAAGGCGTGCGCGAGCAGGGCCGGCGCGCCCACGACTCATCGTGCGGGCCTCCAGAGTCGTTGCTCGCCTTGTCGCGCGGGCCGCTGAAGGCGCAGCTCGCCGTAGCTGGAGAACGCTGAGCGAAGCTCGTCCCGCCAGCCGTGCCCAAGCCATGGGCCTATGCTCGGCCTCCTCCTACTCCTACTCGCTCCTCCCAGCCGAGCTTCTGAAGTTTTGCTTTCTGCCTGGCGGCCGCACGAGACCGAGTGCGGGTAGCGCGAGAGCCGAGAGGAAGCAACTCGAGTGCGTGGGAGGCAGCGGTTCGGGCGGCCCGAGCGTTGGCGGCGCAGCTGCTGTGGCGCAAGCGGTGCCTGGCTGCGGCAGGGGCCGACGGGTGTGGCGGCGGCGGCGCGGGCGTTGTGGCATCGACGAGCCTACCTCGTCGGGCGGATGTGTGCAGAGCCGCAGACATATTTCCCGCTCCAAACCCACCCCTCCAGTCTGGATAGGATCGCTGGGATACGATAGCCTCTTTTCCCTTTCCCAATCCATCTTCTTTTCCCTATCCCAAGTATCCAAACGTGGGTTTAAATCTATCCTACCTCTTATTTCCCTATCCCACCCCACATTTCCCAGTATCCAAACGGCACCATAATACTATATACTAGTACGCATGCAGCATATATTATCTTATCCCTTTGGCCTATGCATGATTCATGCATCGGCACGGTTTAGTTATATGCTGAGGCCAGCAGCCGGATTTGTTTAGATGGTGTAGTGGTTGGAACGATAACGCCGATGATTTCAGCCTTTATACGTCTAACGTCTATATATTTGACAAATGCTTCTGTACAAAGCGACACGGGCATTATTTCAAGAGTTGGAACGGGCATTCAGATTCAGTACAGCGCTAACCTCTGATTAATCTCGACTAGTGATGTCGTACATAAACTTGCCACCCTGCCATGATTTAGTTTTGAAACCGTCGTCTTCTGCTGCATCTAGCTAGCAGCAGCTTATCTAACCTCTATACAATGCAATATAGAATAGGAATGTATCCTGGTCACCCAATAAAACCCTTATCTTCCAAATGCGCAAGATATTTGGCTATCTCACCAAGTAGATTAAGGCAGCAGGTGAGTTTTATTTATATATAGGATGGTTTATTTTATCGTCCGTCTCGTGCAAAACTGGTACGGATTCCGGAGGAACGCTGTCCTGCCACTCGGTGGCGCTTGGACGCTCCTCCATTGGTCACGACTGGCTGGCGTCAGATGCCACCCGAGCCGCTGCCCGTTGCTGTGCTGTGCTGCACGTCTGACGCGGCCCCAACCCCAACTGGGCAATTGCTACCTGCGGTGACGTCCCGATCCGCCGATCGCGCTGGAACCTTCTCGCGCTCGGCCAGGAAGAGGCAGCCAGGCAAACCAGCCAAGAGCTCTCGCGCGCGCGCGACGGCGACGGCGACGGACGGAGCCGTGCCCGCTCCCACCGAACGCGCACCAGACGGCGCGGGGCCGTGAAGCCAAGGCCCGCAGCATCCGCATGCGTCACCGTAACGAACCGAACTGCACAGACACAATCACACAACCACCTACGGGCTACGGCGCAGCGTCTCTGTAGCGCCGGAAGGTACCTATGCCTTCCTTCCTTACTGTCACGGCCTCTCTCCGTCACCTATGGAAAGTGAAAAGCGCACCACGGCTCGATTCTCTCCAAGGCTTCCTTGCTTTCTTTCTCCCGCGTCCAGGAGCTGCCTCTTTTTCGCTGTGTTTTCAGAGCCTTTGCGTGCTCACCACCGCCTGTGCTGGTGTGCACGGCAGGACCTGGCCTTGGCCTCGTCGTGTCCTCTTTCGTCTCCGGTAAAAACGCACCTTGGTCTACGCGTTTCCAGAGTGAACTGTAGGAGTGGACTTTGGCGGAAAACGGCGAGCTCATCGACGGCCAGGACCCACCGGGATCGAGAGTTGCTGTTCCAGAGTCAATGCCATGTTAGGCTGATAAACCATGGTTATCTATTGCTGATTTATTATAAGAAAAAAATACTGTTCGTTGGTTGAAAAAATACGACTTATAAGACGAACGAACGGACGCAAGTCAGTATTGGGAACTTGTACAGCGACTCGCAGGTCTCAACCAGCCAAACCCTAGGAAACTGCACCAGAAAGTTTGGTGGATCGTTGATGGGACGCTACAAGTGGAAGCATATACACATACTTTAAGCTCACGTTTGAGTGAGCAGGATTTTTTTTTGTTGCTGTTGACACGAAGGAGGGCGACATGTGGAGCAACAGTAACCAACCGGAAGAGTAAATCTGAGCAGTTAAAACTGAGATCAAACGGCGCAAAATTTTTCTGCTAACATGGACAGCCTAAACGGCGGCCGAAGCAAACTGGCTTAATGATAGTAGATACATATCTCTCTCCCACACACTATCCCAGCAGTTTAAACTGACGGAAATATCAAATAGGAAAGAAAAAACTCGAGTGGAGGACATATAGGAAAGAATTTTAATTTTGATGTCAAATAGGAGAGCAGCATTATTTCAAGTGTCAAATAGTAAATTTTTTTATTTGAATTATAACATCGTTTCTTTCCATACTTGAATTTGTACTGGATTCTTGATTTTTCTTATATATCTTTTAATAGATCCAGACTATGACATTCGAAACCTAGATCAATAATATGGTAGTTTTTAACACTTGTGAGTAAACTTTTTAACTTTACTTATAGCAATACACTGACTTTTAATATATAGATCCAGACTATTACTTTTTATTGCTGGACATTGCAATGCCTGCCTCAACGAGCTACGTTTCTCTGGTCATTGCAATGACCTGCCTCAACAACCATTATTATGTACCCAATTACAGATTCGATCTCTCCTCTCAACCAGTGGCGGAGCATGAAGCCTAATATCGGGTTGTCAAATCTGAGACAATATATATAGAGAAGTTCCATAAAAATAAGTTTTGGTTCTAAACTACATGGTCTATGAAATAGAGCCGAACGAGCGTGGGCGTGGGGGCGCCGCCGCCCGCCGGGCGGGGCCAATGATGAGTTGGCGAGTCAACTGGGAAGGCCGCCGCGAGGCATCGACAGCTCCGGCCTCTGGCTTCCGGCTCGTCGCCTTATCATCGTCTGTGAGCCTCCACCGGCCGTCTTGGCCACTTGGTGGATGTGGATTATTTCCTTCCCCTTTGCTTTGCATGTTGAGCAATGCCAGGTCCCAGGTGCCACCAGTCATGTGGCTCCTGCTTACATAATGGGTTGGCTTGCATGTGGCCGGTGGCCCATCGCCTATGCCTTGTGGGCTGAATTAGCTAGCCTAGCCATCCAGACTTGCACAACAACACAGACACGCTGCACAACAACATAGATCTTCATTTCTTTTTTGCGTGGCAGGGGGGGGGGGCGTGGAGCCCTCTATATATAGCCATAACGTGGCTCCGCCGGTTCTCTCAACCTAAATATTAACTGTACTAGCCCCCTTTTAAATATTTTTTTGTGAGAAATATCAATCAATTCGAATAAATTCTTATGGTTCTTGAGTATAATATGGTCCTATAACTTATGAGAGTATACCGTATTTGCAATGGTTCTTTCAGAAACCCACGAAACAAACAATACGTCATGACTAGTGTAGGTAGTTTTCACTACCACTCGTCCGCTCACTACGGTTTCAAAAATGACAAGCATAGCAAAAGATAAGCTAGCCAAGACATTAACAGATTGTGTTGAGAGCTTATATTCTCCAGAAAAGAACAAATCAGTCTGACCTGTAGGCTGCCGGCGTGCTGTTTAACAGATTAACTAACACTAGGCTATAGACATTCCGCTGCATGCACTACTACAGAAAAAGTTTGTAGCAACAGTATAACTTTTTTTTATAGGAGCGGCCGGTGATGGAGCCACCTCTATAGTGGACGTGCTCGGGACCCACGAGACTAGCCGTCTCTACAAATGGCACATTAGGGGCGACTGGTGATACGAACCGGCGCCCCTACAAATGGATCGATTTGTCGGGGCAGCCCACTCACCAGCCGCCCTTACTATTCGATTTGTAGGGGCGGCTCAATCACCAGCCGCCCCTACAAATATTTTCGTATTTTTTAAATATTAGTTCTGCATATTTTTTTTATAAATGTATTAAAAACAATTTGCTATACCCATACACATAAAAAACAACTTGCTGATATATATAATGATTCATTTTCTTTTTTAAAAAATAAAAAAATATATTGAAAAAATTGAAAATTTGAATTTGTGAACTTCGAATTGAATTTTAAGACAAAAATGATTTAAAATGAAAATGTTGTAAACACCAAAGTTGTAAAACTCATCAAAATTTACAACTTTCATTTTAGTCATCTTTTCATGTGACTTAGTTTGAAAAGTTCAAATTTTGAATTTCATAAAATGGCAACTTCAAACAATATTTTGAAAGAGTAAATAATTTCATGAATATAAAAGTTGTATAACTCATCAAGGTCTAAAACTTTTATTTTGATCAATTTGTTTATCCGACAAAGTGATAAGAATATTGTTCATAAATTTTACATCTCTCTCGTATGGTTTCATAAACTATAGTCGACTTCTAGACTGGGTATCCAACAAACGCTAGTTGACTTCTCAAGGAACAAAGTGGGCGGCGATGTGGCGCAAAAAATACAGTAGGCTGGGTATCCAACAAACGCTAGTTGACTTCTCAAGGAACAAAGTGGCCGGCGATGTGGTGCAAAAAATTAAAGGAGAGGCAAATAATGATCACAAGCCAAATTTGACCGAGTAATTACAGGGTTATTTTATTTGTCCTTGAAAATGTTATTCATCTTAATTACAGCTGGAAGATATACAAGGAACGGGCCGGATGCAAATATATGTGTGAATGAAAATGGTTTATGCATCAATCGATGCAACAGCTGGAGGAATACAAGGAATGGGATGCAGAAATAGCTTAGCCTTCCTTGTGACAGTAACACCCCAGAGCTCTGTCATGTCAATCTCCTCCGGTTTAGCTCCATCTGGCAGCTTCCAGTCAAAATGGTACAGAAGGCTAGCCAGAGCAATCTCAACATTCATATGAGCGAAACTTGTCCCAGGGCACATCCTCCGCCCAGCCCCGAAAGGAGTGAACTCAAAATCGAACCCCTTGTAGTCCAAACAGCGGTGGTCAGGGTCACCCTGGAGAAATCTCTCTGGTATAAACATGTCTGGGTCCTCCCAGTACTTTGGGTCCCTGGAAATAGCCCAAACGTTTGCGACGACTATTGTCCCCTGCGGCACATGGTATCCTTGGATCTTGATGCGATCATCCAAGCATACCCTTGGGACGAACGGGGCAGGAGGGTGCAGTCGTAAGGTCTCTTTGATCACTGCTTTCAGGTAGTGCAGGTCCCTTAGAGTCGCCTCATGTACTCGTTGTTGCCCTGCCATGACGCGTCGAATCTCAAGCTGCGCCTTGTGCATCACCCTTGGGTTTGCGATTAGTTCGGCCATAGCCCACCGGAGGGTAGTCGTTGATGTGTCAAGTGCTGCACCAACCACATCCTGACCATATGTATGTGTGTAAGTAAAATTCGTTTCAAGTATAGGAATAAGCAGGTAAATAAGAGAGCTTATTACTTACTATCAGCGCCGCCCTGATGACTCCATGGTTGAGAGAAACACGCATGTCGCCCTCCTTCTGGATCCTGAGCAGAACGTCGACCATGTCCTGCTCCTGCTCGACGCCGCCTCCGCCCCCATCTTGGCCATCAGCAGCAGCCCTTGTTTGGCTGCGGCTCACAAGGATGTCGTCCATGAGCCGGAACATCTCCTGGCGGTGCCGCTCCGCCTTTCGGCTCCGCGGCAGCATCCGCACGAGCCGCGACGACGGGAACAGGTCGCGGAGGTCGAACAGCGACGACGGGTCCTGGCCTGCCTTGATCATCCTCAGGAACGCGGCGCGGTTGGGCAGCCGGTCGCCCAAGATGGCGCGCACGGAAGAGTCGGCGATGAACACCTCCAGCCGCTCGTCAATGTCGACGGGCGGCTGTCCACCCGGAGGCAGGGACGACAACGACAGCGACGAGACCAGGCGAGCCGCCTCGTCCTCGCGGATGCGCCGGAACGCCTCCACGCGCCGCGCGCTGAGCAGCTCCGTCATGAGGATCCGGCGCAGCAGGCGCCAGTGGTCGCCGTAGGGCGCGAAGATGACTCCTGCCCGTGCCTCGACAGCTCCTCGATGCCCGGGCTGCTGGGCCGTTCCGAGAAGGCGGCGTCGTGGCCCTTCAGCATCTCCCCCACGGCCTCAGCGGAGGAGACGACGATGGCCGTGCGCTCGCAGATCCTTAGCAGCATCAGCGGGCCGTGACGCAGGGACAGGTCGCGGATGGTGTGGTGCGGGAGCCCCTGCAGCAGGTGGTGGAGGCTGCCGATCACCGGCAACTGCCATGGGCCCGGAGGCAGTTTCTTGCCGCTGCCGCTGCCGCTGCCGCTGAGGACGACACGGGCGACGACGACTGCAAGCAGGAGGCAGGAGCCGTACAAGCACAAGTATGGGTATGGCAGGCCAACAAAGTATTCTTCCATCGTCGGTGTTAGTTGCAAAGCAACGATATATAATGTGCATATATGCACACTGCCTGTATCATATACGGAGTACATATATATATATAGCCAAGACATCCAGAGGTAGCAGTTTTGTATTAGGCCCCGTTCGTTTCGCTGAAACAGATAAGCCGAAATATTGTTCCCACGATTTTTTACAAAAGAAAAATACTATTTCGGTTGAAAAAAAAAAGCTAAAAAGTACAGACGAACCGGGCTTTAGACGGGTTTTGATTAAAAACGAGGCAGCAGGATCGGATAATTGATCTCAAATGATCATCATCCCTGGATAGCTGCTGGCTGGCTGGCTGCAGATGCTGGTTACTTTCCTTGCGTATACAGTAGCTTCGTTTCTTGTCGATCTCTTCCGTGCACACCGTATTTCCAGTAAGCATATGCATACTTGATGCCCAGTGGTTAAGGGGGGATTTATATTGGACTAGGTAGTGTGTCAGTGCGTTGTTATGAGATAACTAAATCTTTTATACTAAAAATACACGGATCGCATGATAAGATAACAATACTGTTAAATTAAATACCGATGTTAAAATGATATTTAATTCAAAAAGCAAAGTTCGTGAAATTAACACAGTCACGGATAGCACGGCGTCGCAGGCTCACAAACTCTACTGTGTAGACTTTTTCGTGATATGTCTAAGATAATATTTTATATCGGCGGAAAGAATTCTCCGATATCCATTTCTTTCACGCGCCAATAAATCCATGAATAAGTTTCGCTGCATCTCCATATAATCCTGTACACACAGGTTCAAGTATATATGTAAATATTAGTGCCTATGACATGGATAATACTGCGTGTTTTAAAAAATCTCTCATAAAATTTAAAACAAAGTATGTTATATTCACCGTATAAATATGTGTGGCTTTAGGACTATTCCACACAGACATATATTGTAGAATAAGGTATCCACTTGAGTGTCTATTCCAAGATGTTGAATTAGGTGTTGCAATTCTTAATTTCGACATATTTTTCAGGTCAAGGCAACCAATGGTGACACTTTTCTTAGTGGTGCATAATTTTATGGTGCACCTCTTAACTATCTGAGTGAGGACAAGTTAGCACTGCAAAGGCTCAGAAAAGCTGCTGAGATGGTCAAGGTTGAGTTTTTCTCCACTGCATACTAAAACCTATGTCCCCGTTTATCATTGTCGAAGCTTTTGATGCAAAACAATTCAACATTACCATGCTCAGATATAAGTTTGAGTCTCTTGTGAGCAATCTCATAGAGGGACTCTCATCCTTTATGTGATCTGCCTCAAGAATATTGGCAGGATGATGGACCTATGTTGGAACGTCGCACCAAAAAGTGTCCACGTTTTGTCCACGATTTATTTCCTATGAATACATGCGGGTATTATGATAACACTAGCTACACCAAATAAAAGATTAGAGAGAATTTGCATTGCCTCCAGAAGGATTTATTTATTAAGTTATTTGGACTCTATAGGTAGTTTTGAAATATCTGTTTGCATGTCTTACCTCGTATCCTAATTCAAAATTTTCTAGTTTAATTAGAATATGGGAAAATGATTCAAAATAAACAGACCCAAGGGCAATTTCAGCAAGAAACAGCAAACAAGGGCGATGGAATACGTGAGCGTGAAACCAAATAAAAGGAGGAAAAAGCTGTCCCTTTTGCAAATATAAAGAGGTTCTCAGAAATGCAAAGATGTTCCTTTTGTCTTAATTCTCTTTCCTACTGTGTTAATTATCTTTTCTTTTACTCGTTGCCATGTACGATGGTGTATGCAAACATGCAATGTGTATATGGATAACACAATAATTTTCTACTTCCTATTTTGTCGTGATTTCTCTATCACATGACAGACAATATTCAATCAAGGAGAATCGCACCAAAGGATGCAACATACGAGAGATGTCGTGGGATCACAGACGTGGGTAGACGGACAAATCAAAATAAATATCACACCAAAAAATATCTACACTTTATTTTTTTTAGTCGTAGGAGACTACCACTTATACCTGGCACCGACGATTTTGGACTGCTTTGCTTGCTCGGCTCAAGGACAGCTCGTTAGACTGTTGTGTGCGTCGTGCTGATAGCTTAGCATCTTGCGTTGCAATGAGCAGGACCAATTTAGTTATACATTTAGTTATCCCTCTGTCCCCCTAAAAGAATAGATTGCAAGCAAGTTTAGGACAGACTAGCAAACAAGAGAAAAGACCTTACTACCTCTCATTAAGCTTCTTAACTTTAACTGCATTAACCACTTATCGAGAAGTTGGAGCAATAAGTTTTGATGTTTCCAATAATATAATAAATGTCGTTGTATGTCACTACCGGAATCGAATAGTTTGCCGAGTGTCATATTCTTTGCCGAGTGTATTTTATCAGACACTCGGCAAACCATCTCTATACCGAGCGCCAAACTAAAAACACTCGGCAAAGATTTGACACTCGACAAACTATCTGTTTGCCGAGTGCCTTACTAAAAAAACACTCGGCAAACATTCTGACACTCGGCAATTCTACTAAAAAACACTCGGCAAACTCCGGCACTCGGCAAATATGGGAAAAACACTCGGCAAATTACGGCACTCGACAAATATCGCGCCACGTGTCCCTCCATTACCCTTTTGCCGAGTGTCCGTTGGCCAACACTCGACAAACAATTTATTTATTTTTTCTCATTTGACCTTGAAACTTTTTTTTACTCAACAAACAACATAGCATAATCCATGTTAAAATTTAGCATTTTTTTATCTGTTTGCTAGTTTTAATTCATTAAATACATTCTAGGAATTTAATTGATTTGCGTCAAATTTGATCTATAAGTGCATGAAATAATAGAATAAAATGGGTAGAAAAATCATATTCACGGTGTCAAGTCTATTTTTGGCCTTACCGAAGAAATGAAAAGAAATTTGAAACATCTGGGTGCCAACACTCGACCATTGACATGTAGCTCATTGGTTTTTTAATTATAAAAAATTCAAACGAAGTCTGAAAAACATAGGACTTGCCATTGTATCGTGATATGATACGTAGAGGCTATGGTAAAAATTTGAGAAGATTTCGAAAAAGTTGCAACGTACATTGCTTAGAAATCGAAACATCTCTAAGGAAGAATCGTGATATCGAGAGAGAACGGAACAGGTTTGAAAGCGAAGTGACGGTTCAATCATCGTTTGACCTTGAAACTTTTTCTATACATTAGATTGAGCTCAAACTTTCTGAGCTTGCTATTTTTCCCCTCCCATGAAAAGAGAAAATAAATAAAAAATAAAAAAATATAGGGTTTGCTGAGTGTCGAACAAAAACACTCGGCAAATAGAGGGTTTACCGAGTGTCACAAGAAAAACACTCGGCAAAAAGAGAAGTTTGCCGAGTGTCCAGAAGCAACACTCGGCAAAGAAAAAAAAATAACCCGCCCCTAACTCCCTCAAGGACGACAACCCCCCCTCCCTCCCTCCCAGCTCGCTCCTCCCATCCCTCTCCAGGCGTGCGGCAGCCTCCCTCCTCCATGGCCGGCCGCCCTCCCTCCTCCTCCCTCCCTCACCGTGGCGGCGCCCCCCTGGATCCGCCGCCCCTCCCTCCCTCTCTTCCCGGCCCCTCCCTCCTCTCTTCCCCTGCCCCTCCTCCCCTCCTCACCGGGCGGCGCCTCCCCCGGATCCGCCGCCTCCCTCCCTATCTTCCCGCCCCCTCCCTCCCTCTCTTCCCCGCCCCTCCTCCCCCCCTCTCCGGGCGGGCGCCCCCGGATCCGCCCCCTCCTCCCCTCCTCACCGTGGCGCCCCTCCCGGATCCGCGGTGCTCGTGGTTTGCGCCCCTTCCCCGTCCGCAACAATGGCGCTCCGGATCTCTAGCCTCCGGATCTCCTCGCCTTGCTCGACGACGGCCTAGATCTGCCCATAGCCGTGGCTCTGAAGGTGGAGCTTCATCTCCTAGGTGAGTGGCTAGTGGACCCTCTCTCCCTCTTCCTAACTCTCCCTCACCTTCACCCTCTCCCTCATAGATCGATCCTGACGGGGCTTCTTCCGTAGAGGCAGCGGTGGTGAATCATGGCCATCGCCTCGGCGGCCTCCTCCGCCCAATCCGGCGAGGTGGCGTGGTCCGTAACGGGTGTCGCAGCGAGCCGTGTTCTTCATCCACGACGGTGGCACGACGGGTCCTGATGCGCGGTGGTGGTGTCGGGGTGAGGACACGTCAGTGGCGCCACCGTGCCCAAGCATGATGGCAGTGACGACGCCGTGCTAAGGTAAGAAGTCCCAAGGCCCAAACTTAGTAGAAATTAGGGTTTCCATTTTGAAATTAGGGGTAAAAGGGCGAAAATCATGATCTAGGGTTTCGGGAATTTGGGGGAAAGTTTCAATTTGGCCGTGATTTGCAAATTCTCCTCCTACATGCTAATCCGAACCCTAGTGGCTTAATATGCACCGTCTTAGCATAAGACATCATCAACAGGGGCTAATTAAGGCATGAAGTTGGCTTAATGTAGAACATTAAACATTAAATTAGGCATAAAATGCATTAACCCGTGACTAATCATGACAATTAACTAAACCTAGGCCTTAGT